TGTTTCTCTCCAAGAGAGATGGAAAGAGTGTGCGTGTGTGCAAGGACGGATTTAGAGGGGGCAGAAGGGGTTCACCCGAACACCCTTCACCTAAAAATTACAGTATACGTACAAGGTAAAATTTATTTTGTACCTTTATATATTATAGTTTGAATCCCCTTGACATAGCCCAAAAGTATAGCTTAGTGATCAAGAGGGTTCAAAACCTTTGTGAGTTCACTAGTTCAATTTCTATTGGCCACAATTTCTTTTAATTTTTTAACTTTTTCTTTTTGAACCCTTATCGAAAACCCTGTCTCCACTTATGCGTGTGTATGAGTGTGTTCGTGTGAGAGTTAAAAACATCTTGATTTGCCCAACTTCAAAAAATTTACCTATTCTATATAGTACTCCCCTCGGTACATAATAAGTGACATTTTAATCTTTTTATTTTGGTTTAAAATAAGTGTTCTTTTTACATAATCAAGACTGAATTAATTTTAGTTTTTTAAATTTTTTCTTATTTACATATCTCAATGTGTCAAGTTAGCAATATGCAAATTTTAATTAAGGGTAATTTAGTTAAAATACTTATTTATTTCTAGGAGTTAATATTTTATTAAGGGGTGTGACAAAGATTAAAAAAAATCACTAATTAAGAGTGCGAAATAGAAATGCAGTTGATTTGACCTTGAATCGCGTCTCTTCCTTGTTTTCTACTTTTGTCAAACCAAAAAAAATAAAAAAATAATAATTCTATTCAATCAAATTAAATAATATCCTCTCCAGAGTCTCCTATAGATAAAGCCATTTGTCAAAACCCTATCAAAAAGTATTTGCCGTAAAAGAGTCAAATTCCTCTATTTTTTTTTTTATTTTTATTTTTTTGATTGAAAGAAAATTTTGTCAAAACCCTATCAAAATTGTTTCTAGTAAACTCCTTTTGCCATTATTTTAGCTAGACACATTCAAAATCACACTAAAAACAGAGGATCAATTTATATTGCCTCCTATAGTGCCAAGTGTAATTTCCTTCTCAAGGAAACTGTTTATGTTGTCACAAGTCCTTAGATTTATCCTGCTTTCTTTGGGAGCAAACAGCTTACTCTAGATAGGATTTGTTTTTATACACGAATAGTGTTTTGACAAATTTTAATCAAATTATCTAAAATTAATTGCAGATAATTTTCGATATTAAACACGTATAGATAACTTTAAAAAAGAGGAGAAATAACCTGTTAAAAATAATGAATCTACAGTGATACCTAAAAATAGTTTATACTGCTAGTGTGAAAATTGAACCCCTTCTAGTTCTAGATAATGTGAGAGACAGTTGAATTACGCAAACTAAAATGACATAATAAGTGATTAATAAACAAAAATATCTTTAACTTTAGTGCTCAAGTGCCTAAGAAGTCACATAAGAACCAACTACGTGTCTGAATCCAACATGTCCTTTCTAGCACCGGCAAGAATAGTGGTCACTCATGCAACACCCACTTTTTATGTGAGAACTGATAATGTCAAATTAATACAAGGCAAAGGTGTAAATCTTAAAGGGGATAAAACGTAAATCTACATAGCATAAAAGAGTAGCTAGAATGGCTTCATTTAATTATTTATTTAATTTTACGAAAAAGGGTCAAAATTATCCTTGAACTATCAAAAATAACTCAAATATACCTTCCGTTTGTTTTTGGTACTAAATTTGTTCTCGCCGTCTAAAAATTGGACCATTATTGCCCTAAAGACTAACGGCTGTCACATCAGCTTTTGGACATACTTAAATATTACGGAAAAATGGTCAAAATAATCCTCAAACTATCGAAAATAGCTCAATTATATCTTCCGTTTGTGTTTGGTACCAAATATGTCCTTGCCCTAAAATCTAACGGCTGCCACATAAACTTTTGGACCTATTCAAATATTATAATCATATTGACATGCCAGTACAACATGACCAAAAAAAAAAACCTTCTCCACCCGCAAGAACTCATTTTCTGCGAGGGTCTGCTGCATTTTCTGTGAAGGCGTAGTGAAGCACTTCAGGTGGTCTGCTAGCTAGGCCAGTGAGGAGGGGAAGGATTAGGTGGTGTCTAAAAAGTGTATCTTTTTATGAGGTTTTGGGTCTACGTCTTATTTGCGGTCGGTCTTCTTTTCTTTTGTGTTGATGAAGACTGGAAGTGGAAGGGTATAGTATTTTAGAGGATGATCTCATTCTAATGGTTTTCGAGTTTTTTTATGAGAGTTGTTTTTAAAAGGATATATCTTTGTAATTAATTTGTGACCTTTTTGAGCTATGAACTTGGATAGCTAGCCATGGGAGTACTGCAATATGCAGCTTTTGTTGTTCTCTACCATTTTTGTGATAAGATTTCTGATTTTAAGTGATAAAAGTTGGTATTTTATTTCTTGTATAGTATATTAAATTTTTTTTACAGATTTGTGAATCTTAAGACTAGCCCAACTAAATTTCTCATAATAAGATTGGTGTAGCTTTAATTATTTAGAAGGAGCAACACTTAGATGAGTCAACGAATGAAAATGGAGAAAGAAATTTTATCCGTGGGGGCTTTTGTCAAGATGGCCTTCGTCTGTTGGAGATAGACTTTTGTTGTTCACATGAGCTCATGTGACGACCGTTAGTTTTTAGGGCAGTAATGGTCCAATTTTTAGACGTCAAGGACATATTTTGTACCAAACACAAACGGAGGATATAATTGAGCTATTTTCGATAGTTCGAGGGCAATTTTGACCCTTTTTCCGTAATATTTAAATATGTCCAAAAGCTGATGTGGCAGCCATTAGTTTTTAAGGCAATAATGGTCCGATTTTTAGACGACGAGGACAAATTTAATACCAAAAACAAACTGAGAGTATATTTGAGCTATTTTCAATAGTTCGAGGACAATTTTGACCCTTTTCTGTTAATTTTATAACGATGATATTCAAACAAACTTGCGCACAGGGTCGGCCTTTCCTTAAAGCAGGTAAAGCAACTGCTTTAGGCCCCATATTTGTAGGGGTCCTATTTTTTGTTATACCTAATAGACTATATCTCAAACAACAATAATAACAACAATAACAACAAGAACAACAACAACAACAAAAAATTCAGTGTAATCCTATATGACCTAATAGGCTATATAAGTTTAAATAAAGTTCGGTAAAATGAAAATATTAATTTATTTCTTTAACAAATATAGAGAGGAAGGATTTGCAACTGCTATGATTTCTGCCAAGGAAATTGCATTTGAAATGAACATCGAACCCAAATTTCGTAAGAAACGTGTGATATATAGGAAGAAACAATTTGATGAGAATGTTGATAATAAAATCTCAAAATCTCTCGAGGAGTCTTCTAGAGTTGATTAGTTTTTATACATAGTAGACAGGGTTATTTTTTCACTTCAAGATAGATTTGAACAATTCGAAACATATAAATATATTTTTGCTTTTTCTATTTAGCAGTAAAAAAACTGAGATCATTAGATGATGAAAATTTAAAAAAATATTGCCTTAATCTTGAATGTTCCTTAAAGCATACTAAGCAATCCGATATTGATGGTTTAGATTTATTTTCTGAATTAAAAGTATAAAGGAAAATAGCACAATTAGAAGATAACAGTTTAATTGATATACTCAATCAAATAAAAAGATTTGATTCTTTTCCAAATGATTATATTGCTTATAGAATAATATTAATAACTCATGTTACCGTTGCTTCAGCGAAAAGAAGTTTTTTAAGATTAAAATTGATAAAATCTTACCTAAAATCAACAATATCTTAAGAGAGGTTAAATGCTTATTACGAGAAATTGATTAAAAGAAAATTATTAATAATTTTGCATCTTAAAAAAGCAGAAAAATATACTTCAAATATATAAAAAAAATTGTTTATAAAAAAACGCTAAGGCCCTCATAAAGTTTGGCTTTAGGCCACAAAATTCGTTGGGTCGCCCATGCTTACGCACCTTGATTATTTCATATATATTTGATATCTCGCATCAGTATATGTAGTCATGTACGTACCATATAATTATACTTCCAGGTTTAGGTAATTCTATAGTCTATATACTAAAATTAACACAAATTGCGAAGAAATCACCTATTGCTTTTTTGTGTTTATGTGACTAAAATTCTAATCCTTCATATTTTCGCCCGCATTATTAACCATTAGATTGCACCTGCATTCTTAGATTTTTATGACTATTTGATATTTCTTTCGCTTTGGTTTTCTTACTTGTTGGTGTTATTGCTTGTTACTATTACTTTTTTCGCCTTTTCTTGAGCCGACAGTCTATTGAAACCAACCTCTCTACCTTCTCGAGGTAAGAGTAAAATCTGCATACATACTACTCTCCTCAGACTTGTAAGATTATACTGGGTTTGTTGTTGTGGTTGTAGATCACGCCCAAAGTGCTATCCGGAATTACTTTATTCCTACCAAAGTTTCTAGACGAGCAAGGAGGGCATAGTTTTGAGACCCCTGGTACGGAATGATAGTTATCATCGCATCCATAATTTACTACTAGTAGTAAGTCATTTGTTGATCGACTGATCTATAAATTCTAATTGATGACTTGACTTTGTTGCAGAACTCAGTATAGAACCATCTCATGTATATGCCATAGCAGATTTTTCAAAGATTTCCAATTTGTTGTATTCTGGAGCTCAGGTCCATACGGATGTTACTAATGCTTTCATTTCCAGAAAGTAGTAAATAACATGACACGAAATCTACACTGGAGCTCCTTTAGCTTATAGAAAACACAGGCACTCCTCTTAAATCCTAAAAGCCATCACAGTCTGAACTGCAATTTTTTCTTAGAAATATTGAGAAGGCAAATTTTCTTTATTAGACTTGAATTTACCAATCAACCGCAAGTCCGCAACACCTGAGAAATCAGCAATAGTCCCAAAATACGGAAAAGTATAAAACAGGGAATCTCCAACCACAAAATAAAACAAAGAAATCAAGGGAAGAGAATGGAGATTGGAGAAAAAGAAGAGAAACAGAATAAAGAAAAGGACACAATACTGAAGGCTGGAAATGCAACCTTTTACTTCAACAATTATGATGTGATAAATGCTTCTTTTGAAACAGTAAGAGACCTGGCTATCTAAAGAAACTTACACTAACTTGAATACATTGTTGATCACTGAGTAACTTTAAATTCTTCAGAGTGTAGAATTGTAGATAAAGTAGTTGGAGGGCAATTCTATGGAGTGTATATTCCAGTAAGCTTCCAATAAACACCAACTTATAACCTTCAACTCTTTGATTGACACTTCAGCATAATGTGCTCGGCAAAAGTAAAAGAATTTCCGTTGCATGAAATTCAGGGTAGTTACGAGTTCAAAATGATACATTCAGTCATTATGTCTACGCCTCCGAAAATGCCTGAGAATAAAGCTGTCAGCGTAGAGTGGATAGTTTTTTCTGATTAACCCCTTTATGCATTTCCAGTATGAGAAGTCAATCAATTCACCATCCTTCCGAACAATAAATAAACACCTTGAGCTTTCAAAATCAGGATGGTACCCTACCTGTCAAGAAAAACCAAGTGATATACAATGTTAAGAAAGTTGCATACGAGAATCATTCACGCACTCTCTCTGACACATGCGTACTTAAAATTGTAGAAACCTAATAGCACAATTTAATTACTGCAAATAGCAAGCAAATAATTCATAATTATTTTCTCAAACCTAATAGCACAATTTAGGTCCATGAGCACTTATCCTAAAACAAAGGGATTACATGTTACTGACATGTGCTTCCGAAAATTAGGTAATTCCCACTACCGACTCTTCACTAGAACCTTTATGAACACTGTAAAACCTTATAGCTAATATCTTGTTTTCCATAACTAACAAATAATTTGCTGGCCTTCTCTTCCCTATTTTGTATTTGGTCTGTCCAAGTCTATCTTGCTCTTTTTGCTGCTTTCCTCTGATCAACTTTTTTCACCACGCATTGATAATGCTTTTGCCTTCTTATTGTGGTCACCAAGATATTCCAAAAAAATCCCAAATTTCCTCAGTTTATTATACTCTAAATCAGATTCATTATTTATTTCCAGCTACAATGATAAGTTTAAAAATCCCATTAGTCATCTGCATAATTTGATTCACAAACCATTTCTCAAAATGAAGCCCAATCCACTATCCCATATCGTGTTTACTAGTGAGATACATCACTGTTGCTTCTCATGTTTCTGTCTTCACTGGACTAGCGCTGGTGAATCCTACCCAGTATCAGAATTGGATTGGATATTTCCTCGGTTTCCGAGAAGGGTTTTAATGGCGACCGGACTCCTCTTCTCTGGAAGTCTAATGGTTTGGGGACGTCACTGAGCCTACCTATTCAAGAGAACAAAGCCTAGCTACAATGGTATTTATTCTCCTGTCGAAGGAGATCCTTTCAAGAGGTTGGCCATCTACGAATTAGTGATCCAACTGGGCATCTTGCATATGAATTCGTGCTCCAAGTATGGGCTCTTGCCCTCTCTCCATAAAGGAAAACTCTTCCTCAGTGCGTAATCTCCTTGAACATCCTTCACCATGATCACTTTACATTGGATTTCCCTGAAATATTATTGCCATTGAGACTCCACAATTTCCCTGTGTTTACTTCCCTCAGTGTTTTTGTTCACTATCTGTAGATCCATTTGCTCACAACGGAACCATCCCTTTCAGCACCATCAAAGATATCACAGGCACCTCATACCATACAATAGTTGGGGACTATCCACCTATGGATTGAATTTGATACTGCTTCATCCCTAGGAAGAGGATAGATGTCCATTCCTATTGGCGGATTAGTTTTTCCTGCTATTTTTGCTACCTTCTAAATACCCTGACATCATTCTCTGCCTGTGTAAGTATAGAAATATGGTTCACTCTAGGTCCCCCTTAACCTCAAATGATAAAACAGAGTACAGTAATAGTCCTAAAAGGCAGTTTAGTGGAGCTCAATTATCATTCAATCAAGAAAACAGCAGTGCTGACCTTCCATAAACCTAAATTAAGCTACAATATTCCATGAGTATGAACAAACTCAAGAAGTAAATGAAGTTCATGGCTAGCAGATTAACAAGTTTCAGATGGTAATTGTGGGTTAGCCATATCACACAGAAAGTTCTACTTAAGGGCAACATATAATGTTTGCAATACAACCTGAAATATTTGGTACAACATTTTACCAAGTTATGAACAGTGTTTAATAAAGCTATTAAGATAGGAAATCATTTCTCAGTTCTTCACCTCAAAATAAGAATCATTTTATCTCCTTTTTTTTGTACAATCATTTTATCTCCTGTCGAGATTGCCACACTAATTTCAAGGGCATGAAGTGAAGTTATCGAGTCATTCTGTCAAGAAGCGGCATTTGTGCATGGAGAGAGAGAGATATCAACCAAGGGCCAAATAAGAAAAAGATTTTACAGTACAGCCTATGGACTGAAAGAAACCTCAGATGTTTTGATGGAGTCTCAACTCCAATCCACTTGCTGAAGGCCAGATGTCTGCTTAGTCTTTTTTGTTTGGCCAAACAGTCCTATTTAAAAGTTCTACTGTCTTTTTAGATTTGTTGAGTTCCCTCACTCTAGACTAGCCTCTTTAAGGTATATTTTTTGGTTATTGGCTAGCTCCCAGATCCTATCATAACATCTTGTAATGGAGCTAGCATCTCTATTTTTGTAATCACTGCATCTGCTTGATGCCTTTCAATGAAGCAACTTACTTTATAATAAAAAAAAGAAGCTTTTACAGTACATTTCAATATGAAGTTTCATGCATCAAAAGTATCACTAGATTGCTTATAAAAGCTTAAAATATCTTCAGGAAGAATGCATGCCACACAACATATGAGCATTTCCGCACAAGAAGCAAATATTAGAGAGTATACAAAAGATCATTAGCTATACTCATTGAGAAAGTAAGTACACCAAAAAACAGACCTAAATGAGAAGAGAGATGCTATCTGAAATAACAATGCAGGTGGATACGTAAATGAAACAAAGAGGAGGATGGCATACAGTAATGTAATCTACTCCAGAGCCAATCTTCTCTTCACATTCGGGATGATATGGAAGTAACCTTTGTAGAATAGTTCTCTGATGATCAGGACTTAACCTATCGCCAACTGCATATCTGCAAGTTGTAGATTGAACAGATGAAATGATATCAACGTTGAGTTGGGGGTTGAACAATCACCTAATTGTAAGAATAGATGAATATATAGGGTCTGGAGGTTGAAAACTATGGCTCTGCAATATTTCATATTTCATTGGCATACCGGACATATCACTGAGGTAAGTACAATTTTGTAAAACATGCATCTTTTAATAACTATCTTATCTCTAATCTCTGCCAACAACTCCAGAAACAACTCCGTTCAAAATAAAGGAAGGGGGGGCGAAAACAGATTGACGACCAACTTAACCTTAATTAGAACGACCAATCGTAATCCACTACCCAAGATGTTT